GGGGTGGTATTTGCATATTCTACGTACAAAAAGGTGGATAGTGGGTGGAATTTGCATAAACTAAAAGGGTTAACAATGAAAGTTAAATATGCAAATCAAATACCCCACTAACGTCAATTAAAAGGGTTAACTACTTTAAATATATGCAAATCAGGTACCCCACCAATGGCTGGTAAATTACCGACATATACCCCACTAACGCCATCTAGTGACAGAAACTTATACCCCCACCAATGGCTGGTAAATTACCGATGTATACCCCCACTAACGCCATATAGTGACAGAAACTTATACCCCCACCAATGGCTGGTAAATTACCGACATATACCCCACTAACGCCATCTAGTGACAGAAACTTATACCCCCACCAATGCTCAAAGTTAGCCATTACGCTCCGGTCTACACTACACAAAAACCTTGATACTAATACTTTAAGAATATTTTATCTGCTTCTGCAAATAATATTTCTACTAAGAGTTAGTATAATTAAAAATAACTTCACAATTTAAATCATCAAGACCAAAAATATACATTTAAATCCACTTTATCTCGCAATCATCAGCAAACAAAAACATGTGATGAGAATGTAATCCTTAAAGTCGTAGTAACTTTAAGAAAAAAAAATGTTTTACGAAACATATAATAGGAAACAAGAACAAGAACACAAATAATGCACAACAATTGCAGACCGCCGCAAGCGAAGCGAGCCATTTGCGCGCGAAGCGCGCTGAAACTTGCGAGCGAAGCGAGCCCCCGCGCGAAGCGCGGACGAGAATGTGTCCGCGCTTGCGCGGACAGATTTTTTTATCTAATTCCACTTTATATAACGCAATAATAGATCCAATTTTATGTTTTTAAAGAAATTTTTGAAAGGAGCTTCCGTCAAAAATGAAAGACTAATATAGGACAATAGTATAATATGCAAAACTATATAATTACTATAATTTATTTATAATAAGCACGTTATTAATTTTTCAAAAATTATATATTTTAAATTATGAAAGCTAACCTAATTTTTAATAACATTATTTTTGTTAAAAAAAATACAAAAATTTTTTAATCTTTTTGTAATAAAAATAATAATATATACAAAAAATCTATATAATAAATAAATAACCATGTTTAGATTTTTTGTAAAATAAAAATTGTAATTTACAAAATTTTTAGTAACCTTTAATGAAGTCCTTTTTCAATAATTTCAAAGACTGAATTAATTTTTTTAACCTGAACTTTATGTTCGAATTAATTGCTTAATAAAATATTAATTTTGTATTATTTAATCAATTTTCATATTCGCAATTAAAATATATTAACCCAAAAGAGACAAATCTGTTATCTGCAGGTTAAGGTGTAATTATATTACTATGCATAGTTCATACGATAGTCCAAACATTTTTCCGTGTATCTGGTTATGCAGTCTAACATAACCCATTTTGCGAAAACTCAGTATAAATCATTAAAAATAGATTAAAAATACTGATTTTTATTTTGAATAAATATATTTTTCTGTATCCCTTTGCCGAAAGTACTGTCTTCCCGGTCTGATTTGGCTCCGGGAATAGCGACTTTTGTGGCCGGCTCGACAGACCCAACGAGCGCTCTGATTGGTTACAAGAATTTCAACACACGTACATGTTAGCATAGCAACCACACAGACACGTTACTTACAGAGCTCACGTTTTGAAAACAACTGACAGTCATCAAAATAATGCATGAAATTTCTTATTTTCTTTTATTATTTTTTAATTATTAAATATATATTTGTAAAAGAAAATTTCTTGTTTACTATTTTTTAAATTTTACTTCCAATTATTTTTTACTTATAATTTTTTTTTCATGCCCGCCCCGACCAGCTAAGTCTCGGCTTCGCCTCGACTTTGCAAAAGTCGGGCGGGCAACTTATTGAGCTATTTTATTATTCAAACAATAATTATTTAACGTACTTTCGGCTGGGGATACAGAAAAATTGTATACGACACACGGCCAGAAATTTGGATACCCTAGCGAGCGTGATATATAAAGCCTCGGCTTCGCCTCGGCCTTATATATCACGCCGGCCAGGAAATCCAACTTTCTGGCCTAGTATCGTAATATACTATTTGCTAAATTCATTTAAATAAACGAAAATTATTTGAAAATAACTCACCAGAACAGATAAATCAGAATTTTTGTGTACTTGCACAGTATAATAAACATGAATTTCTTTTTCTTATATCTTCTGTGGAGAAAAAGGAATTTTCACGAAACATTTTTAAATTGATTTATTTTAAAATTATAAATTTATTTAAATTGGAATTTTTTTGGGACCTGTACTCATTAATTATTTAATAAATATGAAAAGTTATATAAATTTAACCTGATTTTCATTGAATTTTTATTTTCATGACTGGACTGAAGTTCATCACCTTGTCGTTCGTTTAAAGAAAACGAAAACGTTTAAAATTTTCATGACTAGACTGAAGTTAACTTCAGTCTAGTCATGAAAATAAAAATTTCATCAAAATAAGGTGAAATTTATAAAATTTTTCATATTTATTAAATAATTAATGAGTACAGGTCCCAAAAAAATTCCAATTTAAATAAATTTATAATTTTAAAATAAATCAATTTAAAAATGTTTCGTGAAAATTCCTTTTTCTCCACAGAAGATATAAGAAAAAGAAATTAATGTTTATTATACTGTCCAAGTACAAAAAAATTCTGATTTATCTGTTCTGGTGAGTTATTTTCAAATAATTTTCATTTATTTAAATGAATTTAGCAAAAATATATTTATTCAAAATAAAAATCAGTATTTTTAATCTATTTTTAATGATTTATACTGAGTTTTCGCAAAATGGGTTATGTTAGACTGCATAACCAGTTAGACATTTAAAAAAAATATTTAAAATAATGTAAAATATTTGGGGCTATAAACCACTAAAATGTAATACAATTTTATTGAAGAATATTATATATTAATCACATCATTTTTTAAAATCTTCGAGCAACCAGCTCTAGACGGTTTTCATTGGAATGACCCAGCAATGAGATGTAGGTGATAATTTTTAAGCGAATCCAAAATTTTTTTTAAAAAATGTCCGACATTGGATTTTCCATTTTGAATTTTAAAAAACTGACATCGGAATCGTCATCAGCGACCCGGAAAACCCCCGAGTGACAAGTTTCAAGCGAATCCAAATTTTAAAAAAACAAATGTCCGCCATATTGGATCCGCCATTTTGAATTTTGAAAAACTGACATCGGATTCGTCATCAGCGATCCTGAAAACCCCCAAGTATACATTTTGAATCGAATTTGCAAACTTTTTGAATGTTGGTTTAAATTTTGATTTTTTTACTATAATGCATTTACTTTTTCAAAACTTTGATTCCGCCATCTTGAAATCAGAATTTCTCTATTTTATATTTTGAAAGTTCAACTATTTTGCCCACCAATAGCATACTTAAGAAAGGTTTTAAAAAACTTTTAGATCTGAAAAAAAATATTTTTAAAAAAATGTACTTACTTTTTTGTGTTTTTTTTCAAAATAGCCGCTATATTGGATATTGTGTTGATCGAATCGCTATTTTGACCCCAGAATCTAAAAGAGCGACCCCCAAAACCTCCTACATCTCATTGCTGCTAAAATTTATTGACTATAAATACTTCAAATCGTGTATTGAAGTCCAAGTAAAAATTTTGGTCATTTGGGCGTTAATGGGTTAAAATCGGCCAAAAATATTTTTTTTCTATTCTGTATCGAAAAAAAACATATATGTATTTTTTTATTTTTGTTTAATTGACCAAATTTTCGAGTTATGAATTTTCGAAATTTTGGACTTTTAATTGTAGACCTATATTCAGTAGCTTATAAGTCCGAAAATATTGAGTTTAGGAAAAAGTTGTCAAAGAATAAAAGTTTTAGTTTTCATTCGAATTTTAATAAATGTAAACAAAAAAATTGTACAGCGTAGACCCTTTAATTTAAAACAAAGAACACTCAAATAGATTAAAAATTATACGCTGTAGACAGTTTTAAAAAGTTAATTGTAAAAAAATCCCACTGTGATGCTTGCAAGTGATTTTTGAAAATGTTTTAAAACTCATTTAACACATGAAGCCCATTTCGGGACTTTTTGGAAAATCTTCTCTATATTATAAGGTATAAATAAATTTAAAAAAAATAAAAAAAATCCGGCCCAAAGTTAAAAAAAATTAATTTGTTTATAAAAAATTTTTTTTTTTAATAAAAAATTAAAAAACAATTTTTTTGTTTACATTTCTTAAAATTCAAAAGAAAACTAAAGTTTTATTCTTTGACAACTTTTTCCTAAACTCAATATTTTCGGACTTATAAGCTACTGAATATAGGTCTACAATTAAAAGTCCAAACTTTCGAAAATTCATAACTCGAAAATTTGGACAATTAAACAAAAATAAAAAATACGTATCTGTTTTTTTCGATACAGAATAGAAAAAAAATATTTTTGGCCGATTTTAAGAGGTCGACTAAAATCTCACGTGGAATTGCCCATATGCATCACGAAATAGTGCGTTCACAGGTTATTTACATTATTTGAAATTCTTCATGGTTTCGGAAATATTTGACTTGTCCGGTTTAGCCCCAGTCTCCCCTATGAATGAAAAAGTAGATGGATTTTGGATGAAAGTGGGCAAGGGGCAAAATAGATGAATAAGAGTTGGATGAAAAAAGGGAGTTATTAGAAGTATCAGGAGTGGGCGACAACGTTGGGTATAATTAAGGCCAAAAAGGGTCAAAGAGACAAAAAAGGGAAGCCACCGGGCTTCCGTTTCCCTCTGGCAAAGAATGGATGAATTAATGCGTGATATGGAATTGTATATATTAGGTTAAACTTATTGTAAATTCATGTTAAGGCAAATGTAAATATAGGTTAAGATGTATTTGTAAAAAATTTTGTACTTGGATCCTCAAACACTGCTCGTTGCGGGGAGAGTAAATAAATATAATATCATTTTTTTATGAAAAGAAATATTTTTATATAGAAAGTATTGAGTAAATATTACATTTTTTAACAAAAATAATTCCATGAAGAGTTTAAGTGTTAATGTTTTTTTAATAGAAGAACATCAGTAGTACAAATAGTATATAAATTTGAAAAATCTTTTCAAAATAGTGAATGTAATTTTAGGCCTAAATATCTAAGTTAAATATAAACATTTTATTGTTTCACTCTTTTGTACTTTTATTAGACCGCATTAAAATTTCATCAATAAATTGACACACTCTTGAAAATGAATAGGTTGTTTAACCATTAACTAATATAAATAATTTGAATATATAATTGATAATAATAATTGTTATAATTATTATTTATTCACGTTAATTAGTTAAATAATAATAATAACTATTTATTGATTAATCATTATCAATCAATATATAATAATTAACTATTATTAATTAATATATTTTTATAAACTTCTTAAATCTCACTTTATGAAACAGCAAGTTTTAACGACATTTCTTAACAATCAATGATATATCACACATTTGAATATATAAAATATATTCCAAATACTCGTTTTGAGTATGGAAGTCAACTTTAAACTTTACAAATACTTATTACTCGTTAATAATAAATGCTTTACGCTTAATATCTAATAGTTATCACGCTTTGATTTATCAAATCGATATTGAACAGTAGTATAATTTTTGTTATTCATTTTTCGTTTTAAATTTATTTGTAAGAAGCGAGATGGATATTGTTACCATTTTCCAGTGACAGTTTTCTTTGATAACACAAGAATTTTTTGTCCTTTTCTGAATTCGTAAAAACTGATACCTGAATAGCAACCCAATCAGTTACAAAGCCCTCTGGTGCTCCCACGGCAATAAAATTGACACTGTCTCCTGAAAATATAAATAATTAAATTTACAATCTTTTAAGTTTATTGCTTCTTTGAAATTCGATAATTTCGATAATATTTAATATATTTATTTAATTGTTTTATTTTGATAATTTTAATATAAAAAGAGAGAGATAAAGTCGAATGTATCTTCGGTAGATGTTCAAACTCAAAAGCGTTAAAATTTCGATATTGTAGATTTTTATTATTCCAACTGATTTCAAAGAGTCACTTACCTTCGACGAAAATTTGATTTAAGTCCACATTAGCCAAGCATATTTTAAAAAGGAAAGCATTTTTTCGATGAAATAATACTGTTTGAAATTGATTCACTCGGAACTGTCCCAGTATTATTCCTAAATCTTCGTTGAAGATGTTTATAATAGTTCCAGTTCCAAAGAAAAATACTGTTCGAGCTTCATTTGTACACTAGAAATAATTTTTTTACATAATACAATAAAATTAATTAATTATAAATGAATAAAATTATACCGAGAAACTCTTAATTACAATAATTACTTTATTGCATTTCGATATATCTAATACAACATAATAATTTAGGGATAGTCGAGGTACGATGATGATAGTTTCTTATTATAATAAAAAATAGTGTTACTTTTATCTATTTATTGTAATTTTTAGAAACCAGAAGTTCGCATATGGGTAGTTCTACAAAAGAGAGAATTTGTGATGTCAAAGATTGCTATTTACATTAATAATTTTGATTAATGATTTGAAGTAGATAATTTAGTACGTTAAAGTAATAGATTTAATTTTTATAATTGACGAAGCCAAATTTGGTACAAAAAAATTGGAAACGGAAACCCAAGCACTTGGCAGATAGACTTAAATATATATATTTGTATTAGGTTAAGATTAAGATGTTACGAGTTGTAAGTTAGTTTTAAGGATTTTGGTATTAGAGTTTTGTCTCGAACCCTGCTGTTTGTGCAGGGAGAGAGCAATAAAATAAAAAAAACTTGCTTTTTATAACTTTTAGTCAAATATGGTTTAGTTGCAAACTTGACACTCTAATAAATTTACGATTTTCGTAAAGAATGTGTAAAAATGTTAATTTTTTTAGAAAAGACGGCTGACAAAAAATTGCTATTTTAGTGTTTGGTTTGTTTACATTTCATAACTTGGACATGCCCATAATGTTTCTACTATCATTTGTAGATAATATAATTATGTGTCTGAAGAAGTATAAAATTTTTGCGACTTGTTACAAAAAGAGACGTCAACTATTTCTTTTCATAATCATTATTAGAATTTTTCTAACTATATACCTCGATTACCCCTAAATTCTTATATTTTATTGTACATAATGATGAGCAATAAAGGGATTAGGGGCCGTTCAAAAAATACGTAACGCTATTTTTCGGAAATTTGGACCCCCCCCCCCTCCCCCCATATGTAACGCAATGTTGTATACATTAGCGCCATTTTTTCAGCTGACCGTAACAAATAGCTCGACCCCCCTCCCCCCAAAAAGCGTTACGTATCTTTTTACCGGTCCCTTATTGTTACCAAAAGTTTCTCGGTGTGTCTGAAAAAAATGTTTTCTAACCATTAAAAAACTTACTCGACTTATGCAATCGTAGATGTAGGATTTTTGTGGTTTAGGCTTTTCATCTGGACGTTTTCCTCTAAAAACAAGAATCGCAAACCAATTGCAAAGAAACTCGTTTTCTTCGGGAATGCATGGAATTGCATCAAAAAATACGATATCGTTTACTTGTAAAACTTCATTGAGAGATCTAGACGATGGAAGTCTTTTACCATCGATGTAATATTTACTTGCTAGAAAATAAACCATTTCTGAATTATGATCCGTATAAAGAACACCATGTCTTTTTTGAACATCACGAATGCATCCAGAAATATTTACAAGACCAGTTTTTAAATTTAATTGTTTATTGACTTTTTCTTCGTAATTTTGGCATATTACAATGTACCAAACTGTTTGACCATCATTGTTTTCTTGATTATTTAACACATGGCACGAAAATACTACCTAGAAAAGATCAATAAATAATTAGAAATCAATTTTAAGCCGATTGAGAAAAAAAATTTTTTTATTTATTTGATATAATCGATACAATTAATTCATGAAAATTATTTTTCCATTAATTAATGATAAATCGTCCAAGCGCCCATCCTGCCGGAAGGACGTTCCGAAAAAAAGGCTTTTAAAAAAAGGGAATTCAACTTTTCTTTTCTGGCACTCTTTGGGGTTAAAGTAGACGAAAAGACGAAAAAATACATATTTTTGACTTTTTAAAATAATAATATTAAACCATTTTTCAAAGCCTTCAAACTTGCTATGTTTTTAAACAGTGAAAAAAACATTTTTTCGTAAATTTAATGTAAAATCCCCAAAAATCAATATTTTTTGACCGGACGAGTCTCTTTCTCTTCAGAAACGTTCAAAGAATGAAACCTAATTTTTTAATTAAAAAAAATTCATTTTTAATATTTTTCAGTATATTTGAGTATAGACTCAGGCGCGCGTCCCTTAGAAATTGCTCTATAAAATTAATATGGAAGCAGATAAATATAAAACTAAATATATCGTTGGAAAGGTAATGAAACAAGCTTTCAAATGATGTAAATATCGAGTCTTTAAATTTATAAACCTGGGCTAGGTAGCCTCTTAAATAAAGCGAAAAGCGTCCTGCCGGCAGGACCGGGCTTCGTCATTCTGTGACTAAAAATTATGTGAATTTTTGGAACATGTAACTTCTTCAAACTACCCAGCCCTTAGTTTTGAACTTACAAGCTCGATATCTATATGCGCTGAAAGCTTGTTTCGTTATCTTTCCAATGATATATATCATTTTTTATTTATCTGAATCCATGTTAGTTTTCTTTAGTGATTTCGGAGGGACTCACCTGAGTCTTTTTCGTCCTGCCGGAAGGACGTTGGACGATCTATCATTAAGTATAATTTAAATTTCTAAAAGTACTTATGAAGCTTAAAATTTAGCTTAGTTTTTAGAAATAAACTTATTTTACGTATTGCATTAAATTATGTATTAATTGAGCAATTACACGGAAAAACAAAGAAAGAAAGATAAAATAGAAATTATAAACTGGGCCAAAAATGAGTAAGATCTGAAGTCGAATTTTCAAAATTCAAAATGACAGATCCAATATGGCGGATGACGAATTTTCGAAATCTAATTGGATTTGCTTAAAACTAGTTACTTTTTACATTTTTTGTTTTAACACATTAAACATAAGTAAGTAAATTTAAAATTAATTTCCCAGGAGGAGAAACTTTTAAATTCTCACATTAATGTACACTGAGAAAAATAAACATAACTGGGTACTGTCCGGACAGGAATGATCCCTGTCCAAAATTTTTTTTTTGTCCTTCCTGCACGAAAACTATGTTATTTCGGGCACTTAAAGTGGGCGCAAAGTAACTGATTCTCGCCCGGGGTCGAGGAAGCGGGCGCGTACTAAGTTCCTCCTTATAACCCATCAGTCAATAAAGTAACCATTATAGCCCTAGGGAGATAAAGGGTACATTATTGACCGCTCACAGGTCAATAAAGTACCCTTTATCTCCCTAGGGCAATAATGGTTACTTTATTGACCAGCTGGGTTATATGGGAGAACTTAGCATACACCGGTACAGGTAGCATAGAGTAACCATAATACGCCTTTGTTGTATAAAGCAAAGTATGGAACAAGGGAGGTAAGTCCGAGTTTATGTACCGAGCACAATATTGAAAAATGAGTCGTAGCACGAGCGAAGCGAGTACTACGACTCATTTTTCAATATTGTGCTCGATACATAAACTCGGACTTACCTCCCTTGTTGCATAATGTACTATTACGCCCGCTTCGCTCGTGCCCTCAATGCCATACTTTTCATGCAGTTAGAAGTTAGAGTTAAAAATTATGTTCGCAACATGGGCGCAAAGGTGATTACGACTTTGGCGAGATCACCTATTTTGCGCCCTTGATACGATAATAATTATTTCGTTTAGACAGTACTCTTTGCTTTCTGGACAGAAACCATTCCTGTCCAGGCAACTTGCCGCATTAAGAAAACAGCCACTGGTAAAAATTTCGGACTAATTCCGGATTAAATACGGACAGATTAGTACGGATTAGTCCGAAAATGATCCACGCTAGTCCGATATCAATCCGAACAAAAACCTGATTTCGAAAACACTCCGGAGTAATCCTGAATGTCTACGAATTCAGTCCGTAATTAGTCCGCAACAATCCAAATTTATGACCGGTGAATAATTCTTCTAAAATAAGTACGGAATTATCCGATATCAATATGTAAAGAATACGGAATCAGTCCGCAACAATCCGAGTTTATCTAGTTAAATAAAACTTAATCCGCAAAATGTCCGGAGCAATCCGAACTCTGTAAGCAAGAAATCTAGTATTAGTCCGCAACAATTTGAAATTAAGTATGGCAAAATCCTATTCCGAAAGAAGTACGAAACAATCCGAAAATTGTCTGCAACAATCCGAATTTAATCCAACTAAAAGGTATAATCCGAAACAAATACGAAATAATCCGAAATCTGTACACAATCAATCCGACATTAGTCCGCTTCAATTCGGAATTAGTGTGGTAAAATTATACTCCGAATAACAAATACGAAACAATCCGAAATATGTATGCTAAGAATCCGATAATAGACGGCCACCCGAATCATATTATATCCCTGGTAAAAATTTCGGACTAATCCGGATTAAATCCGGGTATATTAGTGTGGATTAGTCCGAAAATTGTACGAAAATGATCCGCGTTAATCTAACATCAATCCGAGTGAAATTGTGAATCCTAAATCAGTCTGGAGTAACCTTAAATGTCTATGAATTAAGTCCGTAATTATTATGCAACAATCCGAAATTATGTCCGTCAAAAAACTCATCTAAAATAAATACAAAATAATCCGAAATCAATATGTAAATAATACGAAATCAGTCCGCAATAATCCGAATTTAATCCAGTTAAAAGATTTAATCCGAAACAAGTATGGAACAATCCAAAATCTGTATGCAAAGAATCCGGTAATAGTCAGCGTCAATCCGAATAATATCTGATCAAGACACCACAGTCCGAAAATAAGTCTTATTATTATAAGAATTTGTAAATATATATGGGTGAATCTCTCAAAAAAGACAAATGACACGTTCAAGACATTTTTCTAAAAAATATTTAAAATTAATAAAAATAATAGCAGCCATATGATAGTATTTAACACGATTTAATCAGGTCATATGAGAAAAAAAATAAAAAATTTATATTATCTGAAATATCCATATTCATATGGTGCAAAAACTCCATTCCGTTACCGTGCATGAAGCTAATCTTACTCAAAGAATGAATATTACTTCCCATTTAAAATCTAATTTCATCCCTTGTTTAGTAATATCCCAGTAAACGAAAACTAATTGAAATGAATTAAAAAGAATTCACAAAGAGCTTTCGTGAATCCCGCTTTGTGACAAATACGAATTGGAGCCATGATGCAATTTTCCTGAATTCGTGAAACTGTATTGAACTTCCGAACCTTCTATCCGTACCAATTCACTAAACAAGTTTTGAGCCTTTAATTTTTTTCAATTCGTTAGCACGAATTCAATGCATTCCTTGGCCATTTCTTTCGAATGCGAATTCGTTTGGACAAATTGGTACATATTGAATTAAATTCAATTGAATATACAAAGAGCTTGAGTGAATCCCGCTTTGTGACAAATACGAATTGGAGCCTACCAAAAATGTTAATTCGTTTCAATTCATTTGAATTAGTTTTTTTTTACTGGGATTTATTATTCTTTATTTTATTTAAATCCGGAAAAGGTAAGGCAAAATATTTCAAATTCTATTTTCTAGAATTAAATTAGTTTTGTGCGCCATTGAAAACTCCATTCCGTTACCGGTCACAAATATGAATATTAAAGGCAAAAAAACATGTTAGGGGAGCAATACAGAGGTAAATAGTATTTAGAATACTAGTGTAATTGAAGATCAGTGCGAATTAGGATGAAAGAAAAGAAAATATTCAGTATAAATGAGATTTTCAGTTGAGTAGTCGGCATCGACAGAAAGAAAACTCCATTCCGTTACCGCAGTATATTCTAAATTTTGTAAGTAAATGATAAATATTATTATTAATTTATAGAATATTCTTTTATTTGAATAAAATATAGCAAATACTTTTGATTGTTTGTTAATAAAATTTTATCTTTTTACATTAGAATCAATATATTTCGGAGCTATCGAAATTAGCAAAACTCCATTCCGTTACCCTGACGGAGGGTGTTGACTGAATGTGCGCTTATAAAGTGCACATTGGGTGCACATTTTTTTAATATGAAAATATTGGATAAAATTGATGAAAAATGTTGAAATAAACATTTTCAGTGAATAAATAAACATGTTTAGAGTAAATAAAAAAAACATTTATGATAAATAATGTTGAAACTAATTAATTATTAATAATTGAAGTGTGTAATGTTTGAGGGTGAGTCAAACAGTGCATGCCATTTCTTTTTTTTCTTGGTGAATAAATGCTTATAATATAAAAAAAGTGTTTGAAATACATAAAGAAATGTTTAAATTATTATACGTTTATTTTATCTTGTATTGTTAATTGTTATTTATTTAAGAAAAATAATTTCTTATAAAATGTGTATTTTCTAGTGAGAAATCTAGTAACATTAGTTTTTCTATGAACCGGAAGCCGTGAATATTTGTATGTTTAAAGGTGCAATCACACTTTTCTGTTGAAATCCAGTTCACAGCTAGTTAAAAAGGTGTTTCTACAATAACCTGCAAATGCATTTATTTTGTTTGATACAAAATAATTGCACAATCTGATTATAAGTTTCTTTAAATTAGTAAATTGAATATAAATTATCATCAATTCATATGCAGAGAAAAATACATGTCTATTTTTTTGCATCTGCCTCGTGCATTTTTCACTTATTTATTAGAATTATTAAAAGTTTTTTTTTGAACTTGACATGTAAACA